CCCCCCCCCCCCCAAAAACCTACGTAATAGACGTCGGGCGGGGGGGGGGTTAGGGGGGGGGGTTATCCTCTATCCTCTCTTAGGTATCCGACACGCCGAGCAATGTCGGCGGACATCTACCTTCGCGATCCTCCTTTCCTGCTTCGCGGGGGGGGAGGGGTGGGGGGCTGGGGATGCTTGTTTGAGATGCTGGTTTACTGGTCTGCTGGGTGAGTCCCCCACGTCTCGAACCCCAAGACTGACCATAGACAACTGCACAAATTGACTGAACCTTCTGGTTTGGGGAAGGCATGCTGTGCTGGAGCCGGAATTGCGCCTACTTGTTTCCTTTTAAGCTGCGCGCTGGGTTTGTGGACATGTCATGTGGCTGTGGGTGAAACCCAATGGTACCATCTTGGGGTAGGTGCACCACCCATTTAGTCCATTTTAGTGGGGATTGGGATGTTCGCGGAGGGCCCCTGATTTTGACCCATGGCCATGTGATCCATTGGCGCAGGCTCGCTTCTTTATTTGCACGCGATATGTGTGGCGCTTTCGGCTCGAGCGCACGCGTGTCTAATTCACTCATGGCGTGCGTGCGCTTGTTAGATGGCACGGATGTGATGACGGCGGTGGAGTACTCCTTGTGGCGGGGCGAGCTGTGTGGGCAAGAAAGCTGTTTGTTCGATGCATTGCGACGCCACCTGGCCAAGAGATTCTCCGTTTGCCATTGGTAGCCAATTTTATTTTCTTCGTGGATGTTTAGTGAAGATTCACCAGGGCAAAGTGTCAAAGGAGGACATTTTGTTCAGGGATGTGCTTGGTTTTTTCACGGCTGTTCTTTTCTTGCATTGCACTGTTTTGCTTTCATTGTTTTCATTTTTTTGAGTTTACTGGTATTCGGACAATACACCCACCCTAAACCAACCCGAAACCACCCCTAACCCACCCCTAACCCAACCCTAAACCAACCCTAAACCAACCCTAAACCCATGCTGAACCAACCCTAAACAAACCGTAACCCGACCGTAAACTCAGCCGAAAACTGCCCTAACCCCCCCGAACAATCCTAAACCAACCCAGCCCTAAACTCACCCTAAGCCCACTTTCAACCAAGCCTAAACCCAAACAAACCCAACCCAAAAACCCAACCAGGTTAGGGTGTTGAACACGATGCTGGAGGCTGATTGGTCTCCTGTAAACGCGCTACTTTATTGGACCCTTCTGTAAAAATCAGAATTTTGGCGCACGCGGGGGAAGAACATGACAAGCATTCCGAAATTGAAATATCCATCCGGTATCAAATGGTGTTGTGGGTCATTGGCCAAGAAAGGATTGCTTGTGCCGAATTTCCGGCGGCTTGTGCTGGCAAGTGGCATAGGAATGTTGGGGCCAGAGAGTCCCTGGGATAATGCTGAGTGCCTGACGGTCGTTGCACGGCAATATGTCGAAGCAGCCACAGGTGAAGCAGAGGGTCTAGCAACTTGTGTTGACCTGCTGCAAGCGACAGTAAGAGGCAATGCACAGCATGTGCTAGAGCTGCTGGAGAAGCCTCATGATCCTAATGCAGCTGAGAGAAACAGCCATGTGACACCTTTGTTTAATGCTTCTGCGAACGGTCATTTGGAAGTAGTGCAGTGCTTGCTCGATGTGGGTGCTGACAAAGAGAAGGCAGACAACCAGGGCGCCACACCTTTGCATATTGCTGCGTTGACGGGCCATCAGGCAGTTGCTCAGTGCTTGCTGGATTCCGGCGCAGATAAGCACAAAGCAGACAATGAGGGCGCCACACCATTGCATGTTGCTGCATTGTATGGTCATCGAGCAGTTGCGCAGTGCTTGCTAGACGCCGGTTCTGAGAAAGAGAAAGCAGACAATGTGGGCAGATCACCGCTGCATCTTGCTGCTGGGCGGGGCCAGCAGGCAGTTGTGCAGAGCTTGCTGGATGCCGGTGCTGACAAAGAGAAGGCAGACAATGTGGGCAGATCACCCTTGCATTTTGCTGCACGGCAGGGCCGTCAGGCACTTGTGCAGTGCTTGCTGGATGCCGGTGCTGACAAACAGAAGGCAGCCAACGATGGCGCCACACCATTGCATTATGCTTCTGCCAACGGCCATCAGGCAATTGTGCAGTGCCTTCTGCATGCCGGTGCTGACAAAGAGAAGGCAGACAATGTGGGGAGGTCATCACTACATCTTGCTGCTGGGCAGGACCATCAAGCAGTTGTGCAGTGCTTGCTTGAGGCCGGTGCTGACAAAGAGAAGGCAGACTATGTGGGCAGATCACCATTGCATATTGCTGCCTTGAAGGGCCATCAGGCAGTTGTGCGCTTCTTGCTAGATGCCGGTGCTGACACAGAGAAGGCAGACAATGAGGGCGCCACATTATTGCATCATGCTTCTGCAAATGGCCATTTGCAAGTTGTGCAGTGCTTGCTGGAGGTCGGTGCTGACAAGGAGAAGGCAGACAACCAGGGCGCCACACCATTGAATCTTGCTGCATTGCGGGGCCACGCGGCAGTTGTGCAGGGCTTGCTAGATGCAGGTGCTGACAAGGAGAAGGCGGACAACCAGGGCGCTACACCATTGCATCATGCTTCTGCCAACGGCCATCAGGCAGTTGTGCAGTGCTTGCTGGCTGCCGGTGCTGACAAAGAGAAGGCAGACCATGTGGGCAGATCGCCGTTGCATATTGCTACATTGACAGGCCATCAGGCAGTGGTGCAGTGCTTGCTGGATGCCGGTGCTGATAAAGAGAAGGCGGCCAACGATGGCGCCACACCATTGCATTATGCTTCTGCAAACGGCCATTAGGCAGTTGTGCAGGGCTTGCTGGATGCCGGTGCTGATAAAGAGAAGGCGGCCAACGATGGCGCCACACCATTGCATAATGCTTCTGCCAACATGGCCATCAGGCAGTTGTGCAGGGCTTGCTGGGATGCCGGTGCTGATAAAGAGAAGGCGGCCGACGATGGCGCCACACCATTATGCTTCTGCCAACTGCCATCAGGCAGTTGTGCAGTGCATGCTGGATGCCGGTGCTGATAAAGAGAAGGCGGCCAACGATGCCGCCACAACATTGCAGATGTTTGCGTAGCATGGTTGTGATACAGTTGCTCAATGCCAGTAAAAGCGAAGCAGGCAACAATGGTCCATTGCCGTGAATATGGTGCTCTTTTTTTGGAATGTAGAGTTGCTAGGCTGCGGTTGTGGATGCATATGGGCTTCAGCCGTATCAGTGAGCACGCAGATGGTGCAGGTTCTTAGGCCTCAAAAAGACCAGACCGCAAGTTTCAAGGGCATAATTTGTCTTTGTTTGGCTCTTACAAGTAGCGCAACTATCTCGTCCCAAGCGAGCCTGGTGTCCTTTCTCCGTCAAAGGTTCATCACCGACCCCAAGTCCGCGAGTCTGTTCTTGCGGGTGTGCTGGGACTTGAGTTTATGTTTTCGGGTTGACTAAGTATGAACATAATTTGAACATCGCATGTTCAGTGTGCCTCCTGTTTTCACTGAACCCCAAGTCAGCGGGTCTTGTGACCGGACAAAGGGACCCAGGAGTTTCCGTGGCTGTGACTCCTACACGTCGCGGGTCTAAAAATGTTCGTACTTTCAACTTGCACTTAACCGCCTTAGTTTGGTTTCTCTCGGGATATAAACCTCAACACCCTAGTTAGGCTGGTTGTAACGTTTATAAGCAAGCTGAGTTGGCCAAGTTGCGCCTTGTGGGAAAAATCCACAAACCGCGCCAATTGGAGGGGGGACACCCATGAATACTGGTTGAAGACCACGAATCCCAGGAGGTGCCTGGATCCCGCGGATGTGGTCCATGAAAAAGCACTGACCGGCCCGTTGATTTCCGAGAAATCCCACAAGGGAACGCGCAAAACGCCACTTTCGCCTGGTTTGCCACGTTCTTTTTTCTTCCTATGGCTTACTTGCAATCTTTATGACATTCGAATCTCAGAAAAGCACCGGCTCATGGGCCTGAGGCAATGGTTCCAGGCTTGTCCTAAAGTCCTAAAGGGAGTCGTTGGGCAACATTTGTGGGGGTCTTTGGTTGAGGGACCCTCCAAAATGGAGAGGTTCCTTTTGGTTTTCCTTTAAAACCAACAAAAAGGAGTGTCCCTCAAAGAGAATACACACCCATTTGGATGTCTTGAGGCACAAAGCAGGACAAAGCAACATGTTGCGCAGGGGCGAAGGACACCGAATTGCTCCAGGGTCGCGGGGTGCTGTTTGGTGGTTTGCAAGCCGAAAGGGATGCAAGGTTGATGCTGGCTAGCACCTGTCGGCAACCCATTCATGCCAGACAACATGGAACTCGCTCATAGCAATTGTTACAGGCCCTCTTGCCGTGTTCACGAGCCCCATCCAGATCTACCCCAACCCAGTGACTGATAGGTGTTACCTACAGCTGCGGAACGCGCGGTTTTCGCAAATTTCGAAGGCTCTTAAAGTGGTGACATTCAGTTGGATAGGACTCGACTCCATGGTACTGTGGATGGACGAAATTTTGCACCACCTACGAACCCCTGGAATGATGATTCCCCTGTAAATACCACCAAACAATGGTTTCGACCATGGCTTCCAAGTGGCGCGACCTGCATCTCGCCACCATCCACCGTATCACGAATTTCGCTCTTCGAGCTTCGAGGCGCCTGGCCTGGAGCAGGCGCGGGAAGCGGTGAATGATCTCACCGACCGGCGGCTTGGCGCGCGGGGTTTGTCTCCGGTTCCAAGGCTTCGACTGCGCGGAGCGTGCGTCAGGGGCTCGCTGAGTGTAATTGGGGGCACCGAAGGAATGTTTGTGGATGTGGCATTTCCTCAAAGGGACGAGGTTGTTGAAGGGTGCCCCATGAACTCGGGAGAATTGGGCGACCTCCAGCTCTTGGACTGCAAAGCCGCGTTGCATTCTTGAAGGCTTCGACGATGTCTTCGTTTTGGATATCACCAATTCGCTGAGAGCTTTGATTTGGCTTGATTCAAGGGGGCCCAAGTCATATGTTTTCGCAAGAGGGGGCCACCTTCCAGGAACCAAGCCCATTTTTGAACAAGGAGTAGGTGCCTTCCTGGAAGTGACGACCCTCAACCCCATGTCCACCAGCAATGCAAGGCCCTTTCTTGACCATAGTGATGCTTGCTTTTTCTGTCACGTTCAAAGAGAGATGGTCATGGCTGGTAAATACATGGATATTGTCCTTTTGAAGGGACCCGTTGGTGGTCGGGGGAACCAAAAAGAATCTTTTACCACTTTGGAGACAAAACTATGGGTGTCGCAAAATGCTGAAGGTGCGTGCGACTCAGCAATTTGCACCTGCCAGCACCCTCCGAGGGTAGTCTATTTGTCGGCGACACAGCGCGAGATGGCCACGCCAACCACGCGCAGGCCAAAAACAGGCTCAATATTGCAATAATTGCCATATTGGTCAATATGTCCAAGACACCCCGAGCCCCAAGATCCGGACAAGCCAACCCTAAAACCACCTAAACCAAGTTCCAATCAGACCAACCCAAAACCAACTCTAAACCCACCTAACCCAACTTGAAACCCACCCAAAACCAGCCCGCAAATGGTCTTTGTTGTTTTTTGGGCAACCACCCTGAAAAGGACGCCACAAAGGACACCCTCGTTTCCCATTGCCAGACAAGCTTCAAGCTTCCCTTTGCCACTTTTTCCCTTCACTTTCCATTTGCACACAAATTTCCTTCCGACCAGTTTGCTAAATTTCAAGTCGCCCTTTGCGACCCAATGTTGACCCCGGACTCTAGAGACCCGTCCCATCAAAAAAAGGGGCCACAATCATGAAGTGTCATTCAATTCAAATTTACTATTTTAGCTGAACATTCTTCATGATGTCCACTTTGTTTCAGAACATTGCCAACCCTCCCAAAGCCACCAGTTTGTCCAAGACCAAAGTTATCAACATTTCAGACCATGACAACTACACAATCCACACAGTGTTCCCTCCCAAAAGCGATGAACCCCCACTAAGACGGGACGTCCTTTTATGAATTAGTCGAACTACCCCCCAACACAGCCACCGAGTCTGCAAAGCAAACTCATCACACTGGGGTTGATCGAGATTGGGTCATCATTGTGGCCAAGAATATGGGGTCAACATTGTGATTGGTTGATATGGGCTTCACATCAACATGATGGCCGATATGGGGTCAATGTGACTCAAACCTAGCCATGGGCTTCTGGTAGACTCCATCCTGCACCTGGGGCTTCCATCCTTAGATCCGAAGCTCCCCGAAAATCTAACGCCCCTGGTTTAGAGAGGGTTGTAACCACGACAAAGAACATGTTACAACGACAAAGGTCATTGTTACAACGCCAAAGAATCTCGTTACACCGACAAGTTTCAGTGAAGACTATCCCGACAAGGCTTCTACTACTATTACTATTACTGCTATTACTACTACTACTACTATTACTATTATTACTACTACTACTATTACTACTATTACTACTACTACTATTACTACTATTACTACTACTACTACTATTACTACTACTATTACTACTACTATTACTACTACTACTATTACTACTACTACTATTACCACTATTACTACTACTACTATTACTACTATTACTACTACTACTACTACTATTACTACTACTACTATTACTACTATTACTATTACTACTATTACTACTACTACTATTACTACTACTACTATTACTACTATTACTACTACTACTACTACTATTATTACTACTATTACTACTATTATTACTACTACTACTATTACTAGTACTACTATTACTACTACTATTATTTCTACTATTACTACTACTACTACTACTATTACTATTATTACTAGTATTACTACTTTTTCTACTACTACTACTACTACTATTACTACTACTACTATTACTACTACTATTACTACTACTACTACTACAACTACTATTACTACTATTACTACTACTACTATTACTACTACTATTATTACTATTACTATTATTACTATTACTATTACTACTACTACTATTACTACTATTGCTACTACTACTACTATTACTACTTTTACTACTACTACTACTACTATTACTACTATTACTAGCATTACTACTACTACTACTATTACTACTACTACTACTATTACTACTACTACTATTACTACTACTATTACTACTATTACTACTATTACTACTACTACTACTATTACTACTACTACTATTACTACTACTACTATTACTACTATTACTACTACTACTATTACTACTATTACTACTACTACTACTATTACTACTACTACTATTACTACTATTACTACCACTACTTTTACTACTACTACTATTACTACTACTACTACTATTACTACTACTTACTACTATGACCTTCTTATTCTACCTTCTTATTCTTTGCTATTCACCTTCTTATTCATTCTTATTCCTTTCTATTGACCTTCTTATTCCTTCTTATTCCTTTCTACTGACCTTCTTATTCCTTCTTATTCCTTTCTATTCACCTTCTTATTCCTTCTTATTCCTTCTTATTGACCTTCTTATTCCTTCTTATTCTTTTCTATTCGCATTCTTATTCATTCTTATTCCTTTCTATTGACATTCTTATTCCTTCTTATTCCTTCCTATTTACCTTCTTATTCCTTCTTATTCCTTTCTATTGACCTTCTTATTCCTTCTGATTCCTTTCTATTGACCTTCTTATTCCTTCTTATTCCTTTCTATTCACATTCTTATTCCTTCTTATTCCTTTCTACTGACCTTCTTATTCCTTGCTATTGACCTTCTTAGACCTTCTTATTCCTTCTTATTCCTTTCTATTGACCTTCTTATTCCTTCTTCTTCCTTCCTATTTACCTTCTTATTCCTTTTTATTCCTTTCTATTGACCTTCTTATTCCTTTTTATTCCTTTCTAATCACTTTCTTATTCCTTCTTATTCCTTTCTATTGACTTTTTATTCCTTCTTATTCCTTTCTAATCACATTCTTATTCCTTCTTATTCCTTCTTATTGACATTCTGATTCCTTCTTATTCCTTTCTATTCACATTCTTATTCCTTTCTAATCACCTTCTTATTCCTTCTTATTCCTTTCTATTGACCTTCTTATTCCTTCTTATTCCTTTCTACTGACCTTCTTATTCCTTCTTATTCCTTTCTATTGACCTTCTTATTCTTCTTATTCCGTTCTATTGACCTTCTTATTCCTTCTTATTCCTTTCTACTGACCTTCTTATTCCTTCTTATTCCTTTCTATTGACCTTCTTATTCCTTCTTATTCCTTTCTAATCACCTTCTTATTCCTTCTTATTCCTTTCTATTGACCTTCTTATTCCTTCTTATTCCGTTCTATTGACCTTCTTATTCCTTCTTATTCCTTTCTATTGACCTTCTTATTCCTTCTTATTCCTTTCTATTCACATTCTTATTCCTTCTTATTCCTTCTTATTTCTTATTCCTCTTTCTATTGACCTTCTTATTCCTTCTTATTCCTTTCTATTGACCTTCTTATTCCTTCTTATTCCTTTCTATTGACCTTCTTATTCCTTCTTATTCCTTCCTATTTACCTTCTTATTCCTTCTTATTTCTTTCTATTGACCTTCTTATTCCTTCTTATTCCTTTCTATTGACCTTCTTATTCCTTCTTATTCCTTCTTATTGACCTTCTTATTCCTTCTTATTCCTTTCCATTGACCTTCTTATTCCTTCTTATTCCTTTCTATTGACCTTCTTATTCCTTCTTATTCCTTTTTATTGACCTTCTTATTCCTTCTTATTCCTTTCTATTCACCTTCTTATTCCTTCTTATTCCTTCTTATTGACCTTCTTATTCCTTCTTATTCTTTTCTATTCACATTCTTATTCATTCTTATTCCTTTCTATTGACATTCTTATTCCTTCTTATTCCTTCCTATTTACCTTATTCCTTCTTATTCCTTTCCATTGACCTTCTTATTCCTTCTTATTCCTTTCTATTGACCTTCTTATTCCTTCTTATTCCTTTCTATTCACATTCTTATTCCTTCTTATTCATTTTCTTATTCCTTGCTATTGACCTTCTTATTCCTTCTTATTCCTTTCTATTGACCTTCTTATTCCTTCTTATTCCTTTCTATTGACCTTCTTATTCCTTCTTATTCCTTTCTATTGACCTTCTTATTCCTTCTTATTCCTTTCTATTGACCTTCTTATTCCTTCTTATTCCTTTCTATTGACCTTCTTATTCCTTCTTATTCCTTCCTATTTACCTTCTTATTCCTTCTTATTCCTTTCTATTGAGCTTCTTATTCCTTTTTATTTTCTTTCTATTCACCTTCTTATTCCTTCTTATTCCTTCTTATTGACATTCTTTTTCCTTCTTATTCCTTTCTATTCACATTCTTATTCCTTCTTATTCCTTTCTAATCACCTTCTTATTCCTTCTTATTCCTTTCTATTGACCTTCTTATTCCTTCTTATTCCTTTCTATTGACCTTTATTCCTTATTTCCTTCTACTGACCTTCTTATTCCTTCTTATTCTTCTATTGACCTTCTTATTCCTTCTTATTCCTTTCTAATCACCTTCTTATTCCTTCTTATTCCTTTCTATTGACCTTCTTATTCCTTCTTATTCCTTCTATTGACCTTCTTATTCCTTCTTATTCCTTTCTATTCACCTTCTTATTCCTTCTTATTCCTTTCTATTCACATTCTTATTCCTTCTTATTCCTTTCTATTGACCTTCTTATTCCTTCTTATTCCTTCTTATTGACCTTCTCATGCCTTCTTATTCCTTTCTATTTCCCTGCTTGTCGGGATAAGCCCGCAAGAAACATGTCGCTGTAACGCTTTTTTTCTGCCGTGGTAACATTGCACCTTGTCATGGTAACAAAATCGCGTTTTTGTCGTGGTTACAACCCCCCCTCTCCCCCTGGTTCCAACCCCTGGGCTTCCCCGGTTTATCAACCCACCTCAGGGGTATATCATACCCCGTTTGGGAAAGATGATGAACATCAGGCCTTTGGGGGCTCGTTTGCCCAAGGGGTATGGAAAAGGGGTACCCTCCCACCAACTAACATGGGTTTGTGCAAAAAGGCCCTTTCCAAGAGGAAAGCCGTGTTGCTACAGGGGTCTGTGCACTTCCAAGTTAGTTTGTGGGAGGGTACCCCTTTTACATACCCCTTGGGCAAATGAGCCCAAAAGGCCTGCTGATGTTCATGCCCCCTCCCCAAAAGTTTTTTCCTCTTATAAACAGGGTGGAACACCGGGGGTTTGAACAAGGGCTATGTACTTTTCACCACGGTCCGAGACCAAAACAAAATGTTACAGGGTATGTACAAGTATATATTGAAACAAACTATGTTATATATATATATATGACACAAGCACCCCTGAGGACAATCCTAAAAAGACAAAACAAATCCCCCGACCCGCACGACGACTCCGCAACGACTCGCTGGATATCTCCGAGGTGCCAAGTCTGCGGCAGCGGCTGCCCCACCGCGCGGGTGCTGAGCAGAGGCCCTCCGCGGATGCTGCCGCTGCAGCGACGTCTGCGCCCGGGCTGCAAAGGGGCCGGAGCTGCCGAGAAACGTGGTGAAGACGAAGCAACTTGTTTTTTCCTCAAAATTGTCTGAATTCAGTGTTATTGTTTCTTCTTCTTTTCTACATATTAATTATATTATGTACTTGGGTGCATTTTGCCAAGGGATGTTAGGACTGAACAGCTTTTTGCCAACTAGTGGGTTTTCCGAATTAAACCACTAAAAATTAAACCTTTAGCAGGGGAGCGTGTGGTTTTGAAGCAACCGTGTGGTCACAACATGCCCACACAGAAATGTGGTGCAAAGAAACATGTGGTAAAAACAACATACCATGTGGTGGGACCTCCATGTATATAGAGACTCTTCACCAGTCTTGACATGGCCTTGGACACATTGGATGGGCGCGTGTGTGCACACATAAATGTGGTGCAACAGACATGTGCTTTCTAAAGCAGCATCCTTTTCCTTTTTTGTTTTGCACTACATGTTTGTTTTGCACCACATGTTTGTTTTGCACCATATTTATGTTCTGAGGCTAACAACGTGTCTGTGTGTGCGTGTGCGTGTGCGTGTGCGTGTGCGTGTGCGTGTGCGTGTGCGTGTGCGTGTGCGTGTGCGTGTGCGTGTGTGTGTGTGTGTGTGTGTGTGTGTGTGTGTGTGTGTGTGTGTGTGTGTGTGTGTGTGTGTGTGTGTGTGTGTCTGTGTCTGTGTGTGTGTGTGTATGTGTGTGTGTGTGTCTGTGTGTCTGTGTGTCTGTGTTTGTGTGTGTGTGCACCACATGCTTGCTTTGCACCATTGTGTGCACCACGTGTTGTGTATACCACATGAGTGTTTTGCCCACACTGTGCTTATACTACATGGTCGTTGTGCGTCACATGTTCGTTTCGCAGAACAGACATATGGTGCAAACAAGATTGACATAACAAGACGTGGTACAACACAATCTGCGGCATCCAAACAAATGTAGTGCAAAACGATGATGTGATGCAAACCAAATGTATGGCCCTAAACACAATTGTGGTGCAACCAATATGTGGTATGAGCAAAATGCGGCGCCAACAACATGTGGTACACCATAAACTATAAACATGTGGGTCAAACCAAACACGGTGCAAACAAGATGTGGTCTCAACAAATTACACCAGCATAGACCCCAGATAGCAGTGCTTGCACACCAGCACCTCCAAAAGCACCCCCCTGAAGACGCCCCAAGCAAAAGCCGGCCGTCAATCGAGCAAAACATGGCCCCGCACCATCACCCTGAAGAGCACCCCAAACAGCACCCTCCAAGACACCCAGCCGTCAATCTTGCAAAAATCAACCAGCACCCCAAACAGAATCCCAAACCACCACCTAAGCTGCATGCCCCCCTCAAGATGCAAACATGCGCCTGCACCGTCACCCGCACGCCCGGTAGCACCCGAGTGTCAATATCGCAAAAATGCGCCCGCACCGTCACCAGCACCTCAAACAGCTCTCCACAAACTGCGTCCCACAGCACCATCAGCACCAGCACCCCAAACTGCATTCCCCCCTGTGTCCTACCGTCAAGATGCAAAAATACGCGCACACCGTCGCTGACCCCGCAACACAGCGCCTGCACAAGCACCCCAAACTGCATGCCCCCTAGCACCCTACCGTCAATCCTGAAAAGATGCGCCCGCACTGCAATCAGCACCTCAAACAGCACCCCAATCAGCTGCACACCCCCTAGCACCAGCCCATCATTCTCGTAAATCACTTTCTCCTTTTTATTAGAAGATAGAACCCCTATAGCTTTCAGCTATCTGGGGCAATAGAGTGCACACAGAATGTGGGTACAACAGAAGCACATGATGCAAAACGGCAGTATGGTACAAACAAGATGTGGCACAACTACCATGTGGTACAAGCAAAAGTGGTGTATCCAATATCTGGTACAAGCAAAAAATGGCATAAACAATGCTGCCAGGTGACACTTGTGATAAGAAAACTAGAACCCTAGAGATAATAGGGGCAAATCATGCTAGCACTGGGAAAGCCTTCATGTAGTACTCAATTCCACTGCTTTTCTGTTGCTGGTTATGCGAGTGGCATAGTACCTGACTGCTGGTTGCCGGGGGAGCTTGGGAAACAAACAGGCCTAGCGCCACCCAGAGTACAATGGGGAACCTGCAATGTACAAGAGTACCCAGAGTACAATACCTAGCTGGCAATGTACGAGAGGTACCTATAGTACAATACTTGATTAGCCTGAAACTTGACATCATCACAGGCACCTAGAGTACCTAGATGTGAAGCCCTGCCCTCGAAGGGCTCCTTCGAAGTTATGTGCTGCACACCTGGGATCTGCTTGGACATTCGCCGACGGCGAGCTCGCCATGAAGGTGCCCTTGAGAGTTCGGAGGTAGGCAGAGCCTCGTATGTCAGGGACGTATGTCGCAACATTTGGGCCCAGGCCTGGTTTAGTTTCCGGCCAATGACTAACTCAATTTCAACAATTTGACTGAATGGCTCACTACATGCCCGGGTGAAACTACATAAATTCCAAGTTGCCCTTGCCATAGATGGCTCTGAATTTGATTGGTTGGAACCCCTCAAAAGCGATATTGAAATGGATTCCACAGCGGGGGGGTGCATTTCGGTTGGGGACCCTTTGGTTCGCGTCGTGAAAAATCTGGTTGGATTTGTGTATCCACCAACCAATGGGGATTCCTACACTTGCCCTGCAACACACAAGAGTTTGGGGTTGTCACAGGAGGTGATTTCTTTTCAATGGACGTGTGGCAAGGAGAAAAAACATCACGCCAGAAAACGCTTCACTGCACACCACCCACTCCAAGGGCTGTCTCACTTTCGCCCTTTCAACAAGGGGCCGCCCAGGACTTTTAATGCTCCGAATCCACTCTCCATGAGATATGTCTCGTCGGGAGCAAGGCCCCCTCCTAGAGGCCCCAAAGCGGCCGGGGCTATGGAGTCGGAGGTATAGTCCGGGCTCCGGATGAGATTGTGTTCCCTGCAACCTCTTGCTCGAATGGGAGCAATGCGACTGGGCACTGCTTGGAAGGCACGTCCCCCCCAATACAGCTCACTTCCGTCCCTTCCCCTTGCGTTTTCCCGTGGGCACAAGGAAAGTCCTGCACGGAGGGGTGGCCCAAGACATTTTTCTCCCCAGTCGATCGCATCGGTTTCGGCGCGCAAAAGAAGCGACGAGCCCGAGGCTCCGGCGCCTGGCGTTTGAGGGCGGGGCCACCAGGAAGGGCGTGCTCTTGGCGGAGCTGAGTGCTGCCAAGGCGGCGCCCACCCGCTTTGGTCTGACAGCCTGAAGGGCTGCTGGCTCCCTGAGTTGGCTGTGGTGGTCAAAACCGTTTTTGGATCCCAAAATTTGGGGGTAGGTGAATTCACCACCCATTTTAGAACCTATTTTAGTGGGGATTGGGATGTTCACTGGGGGTACGGGCTTTTGACCCATGGCCAGTTCATGGACTTGAACACTTTTTGGGAAGACCGTTCTTAGCGGCAGACAACGAGGTCGGAGTTTTTTGGCCAGCCCGCTCAGACATTGAGGCCGCTTTCGACTTTTAGTGGGCTTTCCATTGGCCAGACATATGGGTGACCTTTTTTTTCTCCCAGAAGTAGGGACGGTTTGGAGGCATGGGATATTTGCATTGGGCCTTGCTTGTTCACGGTCAAGCAGCAAACGGGCCCTGAAGATAAGATTGTTTTTCTGCAACGAATCGATCAGGTCTTCTGCAACTGTACGTTGCTGTATGTAATGACCCATGATTGACTTTGTCGTGAAAACAAACAAAAAGACAACAAGAAGGACCACGGACAGCCCGCGTTGAAGGCAAACTGCTTGACTGCCAATTCTCATAGAACGATCATCACTATGCATGACAATCATGACAACGCATCCGTTAGAGAGCATTGGTGATGCAGAGGATGCGTCGTCATGATTATCATCATGACTACTGGTGATGCTGAGGATGCGTCATGATGACAAGAGATGCATGGACATGATTATCATGATGACTGCTGGTGATGCTGAGGATGTGTCATGATGACTATCAGCCGATTTGAAATGCAAGAGATGCGTGGACATGATTATCATGAGGATTGCTGGACGCTTACATGGTTATCATGATGACTGCTGGACAATTATCATCACAGTCATCATCCTTGTCGTCATCATCATCGTAGTCATCACCATCTCTTTCTATACTTTTCTATACTATACATTTCAAGTGTGGCGTTAGAGAGCACTGGTGATGCAGAGGATGCGTCGTCCCATGCCTAAACATGTCCAGCTACCACACTGATGGCCTTTTGCTTGAACCCATGGCATTCCGCAATGGCTTGCTGCATACAACTGGCACATGTGCAGCTAGGAGGCGTTGCGAGTTGTTCACGTGCCTGCCCGCTTTCCGCGGGCAGCAGTCTGGCTCACTGGTGGGGAGGTGGAGTTGAAAGTTTCCCCTCCACCAACATGGAACCTGCCTGAGGGGTCCTGGAAGTCGATTTTCAATGGGACCCTCTGGTAAGTTTCATGTTAGAGGAGGGTACCTAATCAAAGGCATACGTAGAGCCGTGGCAAGATGTTTCATCAAACTCCCAGAGGAACCCCAGGCCTGCTCCTCCTTTGCGGAATCCTCCAAAGGGGCTGCCTGTCCGGCCTGGCCGGGCTGTAGGGGCCTGCTTAATCTCATGTTCTGCAATATTTGGGGGGAGGGGGGGGAATCCCCTTTGAGGTGACAAAGTCAAAGCCCCATCCAGATACGGAGCTAGCGCTCCAAACAGTGCCTTGGCCCTTGTTGTTGTTGGTTGTTGATGGTTGTTGATGGTTGTTGTTGGTTGTTGTTGGTTTTTGCTGTTTGTTGTTGTTTGTTGCTGGTGCTGGTGCTGGTGTTGTTGCTGTTGCTGTTAAATTGGGCCACTCGAAGACTTGGCCAAATCTCCAATGCTTCCCCCGAGGGCCGGCGCTGGCGCAGCCCGCTGCTGCAGGAGGCCAATTTGGGGCCCCGAGTTTCCGCCACCGAAGCTCGCGGGGGGAGTCTCGGGCAAGTTCCCTTCAGGAGACCTCGATGCTTTGGAAAGTCGACTTAAAAAGCTTTCGCGAAGGCGCAAAACCTTGGCAGTCAAGGCGGATCGTTGCGGCCACGGTGTTTGAGCACACAGATTCACCGATGAAGCGGGGGTTGTGGAATTTTGTTCATAAACGTTTTAGTCTTCTAAAGAGAAACCCGGGGAGGTTCCCCACGGGCAAATCTGGATGAATCTGTGGCTATGGATTGGGTCTATCAGCTTGGTCTATGTTAAACGGAAGCCCAAGGTCTATGTTTTTCTTTTCTTTTTTTTTTCTCGGTGAATAAGACGCGCAGGGGGGAAGCGAGCGATCGAAAGAAAACTTCGACGAGCCGTCGAAAACCCCGCTCCCACCTCCCGCAGCTCCTCCTGGATGTGTCGGAGCTGCTGAACTTGCGGGCCTACGCGCGGACCTACGCCTGGGCCTTGTTCGCTGGTTGTGAGAGGCAAGATTTCCCATTATGGCCCCCTCTTTGCGGGGGGAGGGCTCCCCTACTAAAAAGTAGACCAAGCCGAAAAAAGAAACGGTGCCAACTTCTTCTAACCTCAAATCTGCAGGACCTAGAGCCATGCTCCTTTCTTTGAAATGGCAGCTCGGGCCGACAAACCGCTTGAGGGTGGGTGCCCTTGTTGGTTTGTTGCCAAAGGTCTACGGGTGGATTCCTCTTCCAGTCTTTTCAACCGTTCTTTTCAAAGACCGATCGCTGTTTCCCCAGGGTGTTGGGTGTTTTTTCTTATATATATAAATTTAGGATGCCAGGAAAGAATGGGGGAGGTACCAACTTTTGGGCGACAAATCCTTTCAAAGCCGCTTTTGAAGTGGTGCCCCCGTGGCCCCTGCCCCATTTTTCCGATCCCCGTTTCACGCCCCCGGGTTGATGTTGGTGTTCTGCCTCCGTTTTGTGTTGTGTGTGGTGTTAGTGAACTGCAAGAGCCAAGTTCCAGGGTCGAAACACGCAGGATGTTTCCTGCAAGGCAGATGGTGCTTTTGAACAAGGAGTTGTGCACAACGCTTGGCTGTTCAGAAGCTACTCCCTCACCATGTGAGACAGATCCAGTCGGCTGAAGCCCTTTAGGATACGGTGCAGGCTTCTGAATGCAGCTCTGGAACCCAACCACTCGTGTTGCGGGTGAACTTCCTTTTGGAGGACGCCCTTTTGGGAGCTCTATGCGAATGTCCCGGGGAGCCGCGCAAGATGAGGTGTTTGATTGAACATGGGTTCTGGAATCCTGAAGCGAGAGCAGGACGGACAAGGAAACGGTCCAAGGGTGCCATTTTCTGGTATTCAAGTTGTCCCCCACCCGGTAATTGGACATTATTTTGCCTGACTAATGTAAGAGAACATACAGGGAACACTCCATGGGTTCTGCCGTGTATTGTGCACCGCGACGTGAAGTGTCGGATGTCTCTTGCATCTTTTTTCCCTTTTTCTAGGGGACACTTTCCCATTCTTTCCAGGGGTCCTTCTTTTCAGAAAACCATGAGAACCCCAGGGGAAACAAAAGAAGGATGGTTGAAAAGACTGGAAGAGGAATCAACCCCTATGTTCTTCGTGTGTCTCGCTCATGTTTGCTTGGGGGGTGGGGTGGGAAATGACCAATGAAAAATGGACCCCCCTTGACCAATCGACTTTTGGGAAAAAGTTCAACAGGGCTCCTTACAAGATACATTTTGCAACCATTTGAAACATGGCTTTTTCAACAACAAAATAAAGGGAAACCACCATTTACAAGGCAATGTTCAGGTGTATAATGTAAGGACCCCTGAGTAGTTTGGAGGATGTCACGTCCTTTGGGGGCCACCCTAGCACCTTTTGGGGACGCATGTCTTTCATGGATTGGTGTCTTTCACCGTTTGCCGGGTGTTATTGGCAAACACACTGGATGTAAACAACCCGCCCAAGAAGCAGTGGAAATAGATGAAGCTGGGACGTTTGCCGGGTGCTATGGGCAAACAAGCTGGGAGGATGTTTAAACCCTCTGGAGACTTTTGGGAGAAGTTCAACAGGGCTCCTTACAAGATACATTTTGCAACCATTTGAAACATGGCTTTTTCAACAACAAAATAAAGGGAAACCCCCAAATTCGGTCACTCGAGGTGAGCTCCCGGCCGCGGATGGTCTTGGAGCTCGAGGAGGCGCGGTGAGCGGAGAGAGGTCTGGGTGGATCCAATACCCAAAAAGCTGGGGGGATGCAAGGCTTACAGGTTTTGGATATATATATGTATACATATTGTTTATATGTATAATTATATATATATATATATATGGTTGACAAAGCATACCCAAAAAAGCTTGGGGATCCAATGCTTATTGGTTTTGGAGATATGTTTGTTTTTTGGCTGGTGCGAGAGATGCAGAGAATGAGAGATGGAACTCCCGTAGACCATACCTTACAGTTTCCCTTATGGGAATCCGCAGGTTCATTCCCTCATTCCCTACCAAGCACCAGCGAGTATTGCAACCATTGCAGATGGGTGTCCTTGTTTCCCATGGTCACTGGGGGACAACCTATCCAAAAAGGTTAAGCGTGGAGATGTGGGGTTGGGTTGGCCAAAAGGTGAAATCTTTGCCCGGAGATCTTCACGGGTTGCAGCCCCAAGTGACTGCGGGAGCTACCCGAGGGAATGCGGCCCAGACCTTTGCAGCGTGCCATTGGTTGGGTGGATGCCAGAGATCGCCAGACCTTTGTTTCTTGGAGAAGATGAACTGAAATGTCTCATGGTTTTCTTCACCCAAAAGCCGCCTCCGACATGTTTGAATGCCCTGGCAAGTTTCTATATTGTGACAAGAGGTCTGGTTGCGGCATTACGACTGAACATCAGGCCTTCAGGTTGCTTTCATGGGCGTTTCATTGCATTAAATGCCTTGAGTCGTGAGAAGACCTGGAGAATTCTCGAACTGAGGATCTTGAGGGGACTATTGCCAGGGTCACTCTTTCTTTCGCTCTAGTTTTAAGCAACCCATTCTGGGCCTACGTGATTTTTTTTTCAAATATATTTTGGTGGAGTGATGTAGTTAGGTTGGGACCAACTTTCTGATGATGGGATCTTGTAAAGCCTGACATTCAGGTTTCACAGTCCATTTCGAGAGATCGATTTTTTGGGGATTTAGGGAAAGCGGATACAGAGAACCACCCCACAGCCTCAGATTTCAGGCGCTGCAGCACGCTACTGATGCGGCCGACTGCCCTGAGGCGGCTACAGGAGGCGCTCTTGATACATTCGCCATTGGTTCAGGAGGGAAAGAGTCTGCAAGTTTTACCTTTACTTGGCTTGGTGGCTCCCAGCCATCCGGTTCCTTAGCTCTTTAGCCTTTTAGTGTTTTAGTGGTAGTTTTCAATCAACCCACTAAAAGATAAACTTTTAGCGGGGGATCTGAGGGCAGCCCGCCCGGTTGAAAAACCCTTAATTCAGCTTTTGGAACAATAGTACATTTACTACTATTCCAAAAGCTGAATCAAGAATCTGCTCCGCATGTAAAGGACCTTTTTGGCGAGCTCGTACTTCTGATCGGTGAGCGAGCTCTATAAAATAGGCAGAAACATGGTTCCTGGAATTTGCACGGCACTTTCTCAGGATTGCATCAGACAATTTGCACTTCTGATCGAGTCTGGTGCGATGTTTTAAGGGGGACGCTTGAGACACTCGGAGTCGTGGGTTTGGGACATCCGGCTCGATGGGAGTGACCGGCTCTGGCTGAACACCCCCCAAAGAACGGTTGAAGAACCTCAATTCGAAAGCCGTGGGTCAAAACCAATGGGATCCCATTTTGGGAAATTGGTGCACCACCCATTTTAGTCTATAGTGGGGATTGGGATGTTCACTGGGGGTATACCGGGTACGATTTGGATTTTGACCCATGGCCAAATCGTAATGCCGGGAAGCCTGAAACTGAAAGGCCCAGTTCCACCTTTCGAGTCATCTCCTAACTCAAAAGTCGACACCGCTCCGGAGCTTTGGGAACTGGGAAGGGTCCATCGAAACCGTGGAACCGGAGATACCGCCACGTTGCCATGGCGAATGATGGAGGCATCGGGAGACCTCCGAAAACGAATCAAGCGGGGGGAGCTTTTCCTGCAGTCACTGCCAGGCTGGCCTCAACAACACCTCTTTACCAGGAGACCTCCGAATGGGCCAAAGTTTTCAGCGTCCCTCTCCGCGCGCATCTGGCATGGGACACTGACTGGTCGGCCCAAGGGGCTCAAAGGGCCAAGGAAGCTGAGAGAGAGGCTTATGGGTAGCTCGTCCGCCAGGATTTGGACCCCCCAAAATGGCTCAGCGGTGTTTTTCCTTAAACCGTCTCCTCAAACCAGCCAAAAAAAGCTCCCCCCCCGATATTTTTGACCCCAAGGCTGGTGAAAAGGCCCTTGATGCAGCATTAAATGGGCCAATATTCATTTGGTCTGATGACCATTGCACTTTGGTGAGTAGCGTGCCACTTTCCAATTGTTCCAGTGGGTTCAAACACATACCCGCAACACGGGCCAGAGGAAGGATAGATCCGAAGCCACGCCTGGATCGTTCCCTTTTGGATTCCTGACGTGTGCATCCTGAGCAATCGGGTGAGTTGACAGGCATATCAAAGGTTTTCTTTGGGTTAGACTACTCATGGGGAGCAGGCTCCCAAATGTTTGGACATACCTCCCATGTAAATTCTGCCACTGCAGCGTCTGATTGAGCAGAGGGCCGATTGCATCGCACCGCGAAAGGTGAGCTGACTCCTTTGCGAGGTGCCTTGGAAGGCAGTGGGATCTGACAGTCAGATCCTGGCCAACATTCAGCCCCCTAGTGCAGCCAGGGTCAAGCAGAAGAACACCACAGACAAGTGTCTCTACTGGCAGAAGAGAGAGGCTGAACGGCTGATACTCGGAAATGCATCACCGAATGGAAACCTCAAGGAACGTTCTCGTCAACGAATGCTCTCCTCACCACTCACCAAATGCCTTGTCGTCAAAAAATGACCCCGTCACGGAAGGTTCTTGGATTTAGAAGTTGAATGGTCCATGTCCACGGGCATGATGTAGCTACTTTGCTTTGCATCACCGAATGACACGACCACCGAATGATCTCACCGAATCCTTGGAGAGGGCAAGGGAGACAGCGAGAGAGCAAGAGAGCAAGTGAAAGAAGGACGTGTTTTTCGGCCTACGAGGCCAGGACGAGCTGCAGAATCCCCAGATGCTGAACTAAGCCTCGTCTCCAAGTTGTTTCAGTCATTTCTCGCACACGTTCAGAATGATTCGGAATCAAGACCTGTAGTGCCAAGAATGCATTTTGTTTCATGCATTACCCATGTGACTTTTGTTTTGGTTCGAATTGACATGCCCCTCGGGGAATCTTTGTTGGATTCGTATTGCCAAACTCTGCAGCCCAACAACCGGGATGAAACTCAATCCGGGACTTTCCGAGAATGAGAACCGGCCCCCTCCAAATGGCGAAGGATTGTTTCGGCTTTTTGTCTGTTTTGGTTTCTGTTCAAGCGCCAAAAGTGGGGGGCCGTTCATGTTCATTGGTCATTTTTTCCCCCTCAACAAACATGACCTCAACCATTCTTTTCAACCATCGTTCTCTTCCAAAGCCGACAGTTTCCCCTGGGACGTTTCTGATGGCTTTCTGGAAACATGACCCCTGGAAAGAAGGGAATTGGACGTGTCCCCTGGAAACAGCGGGTCTCTCGACGCGACTTTCGTCCGAGGCTTCCGGAGGGCCCAGCTGTTGCTGGGCCGTACGCTCTGCTCCGCGGCCCACAGCCTGGCTCTGAACTACATCACAGGCTCGATCTCGTTTTCGATCTGTGACAGCTGACTGGTGTGACTTGACTTTTTTTTTGGAACTTCGAGCTACTTCGGTTGTTTCACAAGGATTATCGATGTAATCCCAGGGTTGGCCTGTGCCAAAGAACAAAACTACACATCCTGGGGTCCTGGGGAGGTGGATTAAGGGAAACCCTGCATGGAACTTGGTGTATTAGTGGCTCGGGTTTCCCAGAGTGATTCGGTCCTGGCACCTGGATTCCAGGAGTGGCCACGGTTTGTCTCCAAAAGGAGTGGTATCCTGGGTTCTTTTTCACCCCCCCTTTCCGGGCGATACACTCGACCCATAAAACGAAACGCCCCCAAGTTGGACCAAGTTCCGGCAGGCGCCACATTGGCGCACGAAACCCTGCGCCGCTCTCGCGGGCCCAGGAGAGCCGCGAGAGCGGCTGCTGGCGCGCTATGGCAGCAGTCAGAAGATGTTCGCGCTCGCCGTGCAGCAGCGCCTGGGTAGCGAGGGCGGAGGTGGTGAGTGAGTGGCACATCAGCCACGATGAAAGCCAATGCTGTACTGGACATGAGACAACTCAAGATTCCCCGGGTTTTCAAGTTTTCACAGCGCACAGTGGAACATGAACCGAACATGTAGATCACGACATTTTCGCTGGGAACCTCAGGCTGATCCAAGAGGATTGCCACCCCGCAAGCCAACTGGCCAAGGGTAAGAAAGGCTATGTTCGCATTGTGCTACCATTACACATACCCCCAGTTTCCATCGGCAGTGGTTTCGTTTCGTGTTGTTATTTTTACCGCCATATCATTTCTAGCTCAATTCTTTTCAGGTCGGCGGACTTCTGGAACTTAAGGAAATGACCGAAGACTCAAGGCTTGCACCAAAGATGGGAGGCGAAGGAACGCAGCGCCTTTGGCGACAAACCAATCTTGTCTCTGAAGCTTGGGCCGGGTTTGTGACCCATGAGCGACACGGGCGTCTAAGAAACCGGCGCAACGCGTACACACCTTGGGGTGGCCATCCCGTGTTTGCTCAGAACACATTTGGATTCTGTGCAGCTCAAAGGTAGGCTTTATCATCCAGGGGGCAGCGCAGTCTAGTTGAACCCAGTTAGGCGCTACGGACGGAGGTTTGACTGGCGCTCCAATTCAGTTGAGGCTGTCCAAAAACCCACAAACAACGACACCGCCCGTTTGTCAGCTTGGAAAAGCACAGCTTGTTGGGCAGCAAACTGGTAGCTGACCAAAAACCGATAACAAAGCGAAAACTAAAACAACGTGTTGCACGTAAATTGCCTGTTGCTGCCAAAGCGTACTTCGCGTACTACACTTGTACTGGAAGGTTGTGATTGTCAAGCTGCAGCTGCCAAAATGTACTTA